AGCACTGGGTAATTTACATGGAGCGAAACTTTGGAAAGGTGTCACTTACGTTTGGGAATTGAATTAGATTAATATTAACTTGAGAACATTGCAGAGAATGCCCGGACATTAGATGATAAGGAATGAAATCGAAATTCAGGAGGAATTTCAACGTGAAGGTAAGATGGTGGATGCAGGATCACATTGCTCTAAATCAAATCAAATGACACCTATAAACACTATCGCAAAGCACTTAGCACAGTAATCAGACCGAGGCATTTAACTTTTCTAAAAGGTAATTATCAGCACCATTAAAGATATTCACGAATAAATAAGTAGATAATAAAACTAAATAATCGAGGTGGCGAATGGCAAACGGTTTTGCTTTTGATAAAATTCTTCGTGGATGTACTACCTTGGTCAAAAATGTGCGCAGAGTCGTGAGTCCATGTTTCCACAATGGTTAGTACTAAAAAGGCGCGCTATTTTAAATTTGCGGCGATGTATTTCCTGTGCGTTTCTTATTCACCCCTTATTTTTGCTTTTGATTTTTCGTCAATGAACCAACACCGAGATACAATTTGCTTGACGGATTCATAAACCAGAATCTGCCATTTGTGTGCTCGAATTCCCTCTCTTGCTTTATTTTTTCACAAGAAAAAGAGCGACATGACGTCTTGAAATTTTTCGATAATGTTTTCAGGGTATGAATAATATACTCCGATGTTAATCTTATTCAAGCCTATTTTTTGCCCTAATATTCGAGTTTAAAGTCAATGTGTACTATTCTTCAGCCTCCAAAAATTGTCCGAGCTCTAACATATTTATTTTCGAAAACGCTCAAAAATCGCACCTTACTCCTTCCACGATGCACCCTCCTGATGTTGCACTAATTGTCACTCTATTCTACTCCAAAGAGGTTTACCTGTTTTTCGTCCTTTAGCTGTATGTATTTTGCCACCCTTTTTTCAACAGGACCGCATTTCCGATTTTGCCGTCCGCGACTATCAATTAACTACCAAAAAATTCAATGCATGGAAGCTGTTCTTGCCTAACCGTCGAAAATGCAGGCGAATTTTTGTCACACAGCACACAGCGCGATTTCCTCGGAGTGACAATCAAGATTCGCCTTAATCTGGGCGATTAGGCAAAAACAGATACCATTTTTCGCGAAAGTCATATCAGTGGAACTAACGATAAGAAGTCTCGTGTTCAGCGTACTAAGATCTCAGTTAATCAATGATATCTTCAATACTTCCGAAAAAACGCCGTATGATTATTTAGAGGTTGCCAAATTACTTCTGATAAATTACGAGTTTTCTGAAAAGCTCATGTAATTTCTACTGTAAATTGAGAACTTTATTTTTCACTTCTTTTTTTATTGTCTCTGCTTTTTTACGAGGGGAGGACGAATCAACCTCAGTTCTTGTTTTTACAAAAAAAAATATTTAAGTACCTACAAGTATATGATCTACATACTCACAGAAAAGACGATTCATGCATGGAGATTTTCAGGTTACATCGTTGAATAGTTCTATACTTTGAAAAAATAAGTCAATTATGACAGGAAGTTTGCAATGTAGCAAACCACGATAAAAGGTTCGATACCCTGATAAAAATTGGCGATAGGAGCTGCGTTTTGAAATACCATAGGAGTTCTCATAGCCGACTGTAAAAGGCGATAGAAAATCATATAGCTGGCTGTAGAAAGTGGAAAATATCATACGGCTGGGCTACTTACACGAAGCGATAAAAAATTATACAGCCGGGCTATAGTTCCTGTCGCTGGCTTTACACTTTATCGCCTGGCTGTTGCTTTTTCGCCATCGGCTGTAAAAGGCTTTAAGAAATTGTGTAGAAATTCGTGTGCTTTGGGAATCATTACGTTTTTTCGGAACTACCTTAATGTTTACAAAACACACATTATATTTTCCTTTACTTATAATTTTTTTCATCAATTAAAATGAGAATAATCCATTTAGAGTGTGCAAACATTTCAAAGTCATGAGTTGAAAAACGCTGACTCCGCCAGATTAATTATTAGAGCCTAACACAAAGCGGAGCGGCGACGCACTGGCGCCTACAAACCTAACAGGGATATTTCACGCATTGCGCAATGCGTGAAGTATCCCTGTTAGGTTTGTAGGCGCCAATGCGCGTTTCGCGCTGGCTGCCCGCCCGCCGCCCGCCGCGCCGCAGCGTACCACGGCGCTTGAAGCAACTATTTCACACTAGAGGTATTGCACAGTATCATACGAAATTGTAGGCGCTCCAACCTATTAGGAATGACAGGCATCCTTCAAAAGTACGGAGCTTTCCTCGCAAAATAAATCAAGATACTACGGCCCAAAAAGAGAACGGTAGTCCAAAAACTCACTAAGTCCTAGCGTCCGTAATTAGTAACGTTTAGCATACACTTTATCTCCAGGCTGTTGCTTAGTCGCCATCGGCTATAAAATGCTATAAGAAATTGTGTTGTCGCGCTATAGAAGCTATTGGAAATCTTACAGCCGATTGTAGGTCTATGGTATTTTGGAAAACAGATTCCACTGCCGATTTTAACCAGGGTGCCCTGGTAAATGGCTCTTAAAAAAAGTTCTACAAAAAGTTGGCCAAAAAAATGTAAAAAAGTTGGAAATTTTATAAGAGTTCGTAAATTTTAAGTAAAAAAAACTCTTAAAATACTCGTCTTAGGAAACCCTTTTGGGGAATTCTTTTAAGTAAAAAAATAGTGTTATTTTAATTAAAGAAAACGTAAAATTTACGTAAGAATCAATAAACTTTATCCTCAATTTTTATGGGCTGCAACTGTTCCTTCTATACTTTTCTGTTCACCCCTATTTTTCCTCGTTTTTGCCCGCAAGAAGTTTAAAAAAAAAAAAAATACGAAAATTTTACTTAAAATTTACCTAAAATTTACGTAAAAAATTTACTTGAAATTTGTCTTCAAATTTATGGGAAAAAAAGCCCCAAAAAGGGTTTCCTAATACGAATGTTTCAAGAGTTTTTTTACGTAATTATCAAGTGGTTTTAAAGTGTAAATTTTAAGAGATCTCTTAAAATTTACGAGTTTTTTACATTTTTTCTCAACAGCCACTGCTACTAGGGTAGTGAAACTTCGAAACCACTTTTCCCAGATTTTCCTTCAAGTTTTTTTTTCTTTATTTCAGGGGATGATATTGATCATCGCTAAGTACAATGAAGTTTCGTTTGATAATTGGACGTATTTCTGTCAAACGGAACTAGCTATATGTATTTTGACGTGAGCCCAGTTATGCATGTATTCTTATGGGTCTCAGGGCTCATGTCTTAATGCACATGTCCAATTGTTTGCTCCATCAAGAATATTCTCCGAAAATTTCGCGAAAATATTTCAAGTAATCTTTCAACAAAAAAAACTAAGGACGGATAGAAATCTTGAGCACCGAACTGCCATGCGTGCATTTTCGATCTTCCACAAGCAAAGTGTTTTTGAAACTACTAAGAGACTTACACTTACTCAAGTGCCAATAACTCATGCGGGGTTACTTACCGGCAGTCATATAGTTCTGCGGGAATCTAAGGTTCGAGATGCGTCAATCGATACGACAAGCTGAGAGCGCCTTCATTTAACTGCTCCACAAAGTTCAAGATGTAAAATCCATGGAAAATGTAACGAATAACAGTTTTTGCGCCTGATTCCATGGCCTCGTTTCGCGTGTTGACGATAAGTATCACTTTTTGCTTAAGGGAAAATCGAAGGGACGGCAAACAGGACACGATAACCTCGTTGGATACGGCTCGAGTAAGATGACGCAACTGCAGGACGGGACAACAGGATACACTGGCGCTATCTGTGATGCCGCCCGCTATACGCCAATACACGGCGCAGAGCCACCCTCTTCGGCTTTTGACCTTTCGAAGTAGGTGGCGTCGCTATCACGCCGGTTTGGCAGAGTTATGCAATAAGCGGCACGTAATTTTATCGCGGGTTGCGTCACTCCTCTAAGAAAGGAGCACGAATCTCACGTTATGGCAGGTGGGTAGTTTTTTGGGGTTGAAAATTAACGACCAAAGCCGAAAAATGCGTACTACGTTCCAAAATTTCTGATTGTGTCTCATTTGAAGCCTC